CCAGCGGGGTTTTAAAAATGGCGGCTCCCCGCTTATGCAAATGAAGCCCGGGAAATTCAAATCCCGGGCTTCATTTGCAAGTGCAGTATGCCTACATTACCCCGCTAGTTCAAACTAGCGGGATAGTGTAGACATACCCAATGGGATTTTAGCTGGGCTGGATTTAGGGACCACAGTCTTAACCTGCTGCAAAAACTGATGCAAATATAAGGATGATGTCATGCAAGATTCCATGACAATTCACATATTCAGATTCTAGGCAAAACACACATGTTCAATTAGTACAGTTAGACCAAGACAAAAAAAAGGTCATTTGCCAGACAGATATACAGTATTATCACTTTCAAAGCCACGGAAGTACAAGAGAAAACACAGGGTTTTATAGGCACTGGCCCATGTTTTGGATTTAATCCATTGCCAATCACTCTTAAAAATATTAATTTTTGCATTGCCTGAATAAACGCTTGTGAAATTGATACAGTCTCTGTGATTACTTGCTCCGTGAATAGAATAAATGTGGAAGCCTTGAGCAAGCCCTTATGATTGCTTTTTTTCCCTGTCAAGTCATACCCCATAGAAAACACCATCAGTTGCTGGGGAGAGAAGAGGAGTCATGAAATTCTTGGATATAACTTCTGCAGTGTAGGAGGAAGATGTTGTTTTGTGGTAAGACAAAAAGATTGTGCAGACATGAGGGTAGGGAGAAAGAGAAAAGGTTCAAACACTTAGATTCTGCTCATGAAACACTTCAGCTTTGCCCATTACTACAGCCTTGTGACAGTGATCTTCCACTAAGAACTTCCTCTAGAATACATCAGGTCTTCTCCTTCAATCAGCTCAGGAAGAGAAGGGAAGGGACTAGTCAAATATGGGGGGAAATATACCAAAAAAATACACATTTCTTCACATTTGTGTCAATTTGTCCAGTGTCTGTTTTGGAGGGGAGATCGGGTTGGTTTTGTTTTTTGGGTAGTTGGGTTTTGACCAGCTATCAAGACACAGGGTCCAACTCTTTGCTGCTATGGATCCTTTTTCTGGCTTCACTAGTGCAATTGGGCCATAAAACTGACAGCTCTGGCCAGCTGGAAGCTCCCTTGTGTAGGTCAAATTAAAAAATGGTTTAGATCAAGATAGCAACTCTATAGACCCCAAGGCCCTACCACATCTCCCAGTGAGGCTGGTAAAAAGAGAGTGTTAACAGCACTACTTTCCAGTCATCCCTGTCTACCAGAATGACTCTTTAAAGCCCCTGGCAGTCACACTGAGGCAGCTTTGATTTACACTGTAAGGCAGTTAAGCTCTTGGCTAACCACACAATCAGTTATTCTATAAAAACAATAAGGAATCTGGTGGCACCTTAAAGACTAACAATTTTCTTAGGGCATGAGCTTCCACAAGTTATAACTCACTTCATCAAATGCATGAAATGAAAGAAAAAAAAACCCAGACAGTAGGGATACAGATACGGGAGTGTTACATCATAGTGAATTCAATCAGGGTGGATGTGGATAAGAAAATGAAAATACCTAACGTTTTTTGCTTGATGGCGGCAACTTTCAAGTCTGTAGGGAGGTTAAAATATTCTCCCACTGGTTTTTGTATGGTACCATTCCTGTTATCTAATTTGTGTCTGTTTACAGACTGCAACTGAAACTGCTGAGCTGGCATTCATATGCAAATTTGGCACCATCAGAGTTTGAATAAGGATTGGGAATGGCTCTCTCATTACAATAAGTAATTTTTTTACTTTAGGTATTCTCACCTTCCTATCCACATCCATCCTGATTGAATTAGCTCTGATGTAACACTCTCTTCTCTGTATCCCTACTGCCTGTTTCTTTTTCTTTCGCTTCATGCATCTGATGAAGTGAGTTGCAACTTGCAGAAGCTTTTGCCCTAATAAAATTGTTAGTCTTCAATGTGCCATCTGACTCCTTGTTGCTTTTGCTGAAACAGACTAACAAGGAATTCCATAGCAACCCAACCTCACCCCACCTCCTCTCTCTTTCTCTCCACCACTCAGTGGGGATGTGGGAGGGAAGGTGTCCCGACTCAGGCAATGTCTAGACTGCAGCCTTCTTTTGGAAGAAGCTTTTTTTGGAAGAGATCTTCAGAAAAAGCTTCTTCAAAAGAGAGTGTTCACATACAAAAGTGCATCAAAAAAGATGTGCTTTTTCGAAAGATAGCATCCACACTAAATGGACACTATCTCGCATGTAAGCTGTGATTACTATGGACGGAGTGGCCACCAGGGCATCTGTGCTTTCTCCTCTTTCCTCTTCTTTTGAAAGAACTCCCTCTTCCCCGTCCACACATGCCTTTTTCCAAAAGAGCTTTCAGAAAAAGGCTTCTTCCTCGTAGAAAGAGGATTACCAACGCCAGAAAAACCCCTCTATTCTTTCAATTTACTTTCAGAAGAATATGATTGCAGAGTGGATGTAAGTCAGGTTTTGTCAGAAAAACTGCTGTTTTTCCAACAAAACTCTGTAATGTAGACATACCCTCAGTGTATTGCCTGTTTCAAAATGCAGACTACAGAGGAGCCAAAGGGAGAGGGGTTGTGTTGTGCTCCCAATTCTGGATCTCTTCATTGTACTTTGGCAAAACTCACTTCTGAGCAGCGGTTGAGTGGCTCAGCTGTACTGCTGGAAATGGTCCTAAATTACTCATCCTCATAATTACACCCCGCCAACTGCCTAGGAATACTTGAGCCCTTGGGAATTCAGAAATCTTGGGCCTGACTAACCACCAGCTTTCAAAATCCCCCGGGTGCCCAACAGCCGTCTGAGTCCTTAACTAGGTATCCAAAAGTCTATTTGCATCTCCCCCGAAGCTTCTGAGAAAGCTCCCCTCTTATTCTTCATTTTCCTCTTCTGTAAAATTACAGTGATAATCACTTGCCTCTTTTGCTCATACAGCTGCAGCACATATTAGCTTGTTTCTGTGCAGTGTTTGGAAACTGTAAAGCACTACAAGCGTAAAGTGTTTTTAATTGGCGCTCAGTGTTCTTGAAAACAGAAAATGCTTGTGCGGGTAGTTGTTGAAGTGAACTGCAAAGGTCCCAATGGATGAGCTCAGGGCTTTGAATACTAAGACAGAGCCAGTCTTAGACAATGGCCACACAAATAGTGGCACAGAATGTCCCCTCGCACACTGTCATGGAGGCATTTTGTGTATAAATTGTTATGCTTGCAAAATGCAGCAACTTTTTGTATACTCTCAGAGTAGTTGTAAAATGAGCTTTACTCTTAAAGACTTGACAACTGGTCAGCTGAAAATGGGGTGACATTATGACTGGGGCAGCCTGAAAAATCAGCCATTCTACATTCCATTTCCCATATACACCTCCTCTGTCCCCCAAACATGAATTAACTAAACAACACTAGAGAGAAACAAAATAGAAGCAACAAACCGATGCCTACACATAAACCTTCAGGCACTTTCTTGCCTGCTGTTTCCATCCCAATGTCACCCTCAGCTACTCATCCAGTCCCTCTGTTACATAGTAATAGCTGCTCAAAGGTTCCACTAACAGATTGCTGCCTGAGGAGTGTAGGTCAGAACTGCTGCAGCAACTAAAAAGAAGCAAGTCAAAGTGAAGCAGTTCTTGTCTTGGTTTTATGGAATGCAAGACACACTGGCTGGAGAGAGGAAATCAACACAATACTAGAAAGGCAACTCAAATTCTTCAAGCTTTCCTGTATAAAAATGTACAGAGACATAACTGTTCCCTCATCACCCCATGAATGGAAATGGAATGGTCTACTAGCCATTTAACTAACAAAATAGGCCATGGGGATTGTTGAAAGCCAATGATCTGATTGGCTGAACATTTCATATAGTGCTTCAGTTCAGTTTATAGGAGGTTGGGGCACAAAATCCACACTTGTCTGATTCAATTTGCTCTCTCTGCTAAGTAGCCTTTTAAAAGCAAACAAGGCAAAAGCTGGACCAATTCTGCATCAAATTCTAGCTCCAGATGTGATCATGTTCCTGATACAACCAGCTCCATGTGCAAAACTCATTAGCAGTTAAAGTGACCTCTCACAATTATCTCAGCAATGAAGTAGTTAAGTTTGCTTTCAATTCTTTTAAAAATGGTAGTACTTTTAGACCCTGTTTTTATTTCTTAAGTAAATTGTAGTAGAACATTGCCCCCAACTGATAATATTTTTCCATACCTTAAAAGGAAAAGAAAAAAAATACATGGGAGAAGAGAATGTGAATTCACACCTGGATAGTCTATGCCAGGGAAATCTGTGGCTCTCTTTTTCTCTCAGCTGGTTTACAAAGTTGCTACCTGATACATCTTGGAAAACTTAACAATATTGCTTTATTAGAAACAATTCTGTTTTTCTATTGTTTATGTACTGCATTTTTCTTACCCTTGTTCTTTATTCGGAACAATGTTTTGTCTAAAAACAGGAGAGTTGTTTTGCTTTTTTAAAATCCATCTGTTCCAGCTGCTTATTTCTCACTTAAACTCATAATTAATCCTCTTTTTATGACACAATAATTGTTTCCACAGCAACCAGTTGTGATGTCAAACAGGATTATAATTTTAGGTAGGAGTATAAATTGAATTAGCTTCTTATTTATATATGTGTTTAAATCAATAACAGCTGTTATGCATGATCAAACTAATAGCCCATCAAATCCAGTATTCTACTTCCAGAGGTAGAGAATACCTGAAATTTCAGAGGTGAGCAACCAGAAAAACAAACAGCCACATACCAATTTAAATGTGGAAAGCTGTATCACACAAAGAAGACTATTCCTTTCCAACTTCTACAGGTGACCCACTTGCACAGTGAAGCATGAAGGTTGGTAAATATTATAACTTTTTGTATGTACATAGTAGTGATCCTGGCAGTAAATGTGAATTATGTTCATATTAAAGTCTCGTACTACTTTGAATCCTGCTCAACATTTTGCTTCAATGATTTCCTGCAGCTGTGAATTCTCTAATAAATGCACATGAAACCAGCAATTATATAGGGCAAAGAAATAGGAGCCCCTGAGCACACTTACTTTATATCCTTTTCTTCCACTCAAACTAAATAACCTCAGTCTATCATCTCTACTTTGCAGAATAATCACAAACACTCCAATGCCTTAAGTAATTTACATTAGCCTTCTCTAGCCCTTTTCCATTTCAGCTGCATCGTTTTTTTTAATTTTTCAGCAAAAGAGAGTTATGAAGAAAGAGAGAAAAATGAAATCCAAAGACCCAGGTATCAGCAACAATCCAGATATCAACAAGCATCATATCACCTTTCTCAAATGTTATGTCTGAGGTATAAATATTTGACTTCCCTTTTAGTTTTTTCTTAAATTTAGTTTTGATAATACCAATGAGGTTACTAAACGTAGGTAGCAGTAAGAACTATAGTATTTTTAAGGTGTGATAATAAATGGAGACTGGCCCATACAGTGGACACCTGGGAACTATAAAGATGGGTGAGGGCTCCATCCCAATATACACACCTTTCACCGAGTATATACTGCCACTCCAAACATGCTGGCTCATTGCTTCTTCTGTGTTCCCTGCCTCAGACTGGTTTGGTATGGCCTATTTCATTCCA